TCCTACCCTAACACTAAAAGTGTCCCACATCCCCCTTCCAACCCTCACCTTTGTCTTCGCCCCTTCATACAGCTGCATCACAGCTTTAACAAGTCTCTCATTCACTCTTTTCTTCCTCAACGCCCATTCAATGACCATCCTCGGTACTCGATCAAAAGTTTTTTCTAGATCCACAAAACACATGTACAATCTTTGTTTCTTCTTTCTATAATTCTCCTGCAACATTCTCACTATGAACAACGCATCCACCGTTCCCCTACCAGGCATAAACCCACACTGCATTTCATTAATTGTCACCATATTTCTCAACCTCCTCTCAAGCACCCTCTCCATTACCTTCATTCCATGCTCTAGCAATTTCACACCCCTATATGACCCACAATCTCTCACATCTCCTTTGCCCTTATACAACGGCACCAACACACTGAGTCGCCAATCCTCACGTATACCTTCATCATCAAACATATTTTTAGCAATTCTCATCATAACTTCAATTCCTATCACCCCACTCGCCTTTATATGTTCCGCCGCCATTTCCGAAACCCCCGTCGCCTTACTTAGTTTCTTTTCTCCAACTGCTTTCTCTACTTCCTCCATCGTCACTTCTCTATGGGTTCGTGTGTGATCCCGGATTCCACATCTCCATCCCATTCATTCTCTTCATTTATCAACCTTTCCATATGAGCTTTCCACACCTGAGCTTTTTCCTCCTCATCTATGCACAACTTGCCAGATCCATCTCAAACATATCCATTCCCTATAACATTTTTCATATCCCTCATTGACTGCTTTGCTACTTTGAACATTTTCCTTGAACTCACATCAAATTCCATTTCCCTCATTAACCTATCTGATGTTTTCATCATTGCAGTTGCCACTGCCCGTTTTGTAACCTTCTTAGCCTTCCTATACTCAGACTCCGCTTCTCCCGTCATGTCCCTTCTCCACGCCCTAAACCTTTCCTTCTTGACCTCTAAAACCTTTCTTATATGTTCATCCCACCACCACGTCTCACCATGTCTACACTTTCCTTTCGTCCACCCACATACTTTATCTGCCGTAGTCAACACACAGTCCCTATATCTCTTCCAAACATCTCCATCCTACTACTCTACCAACTTTCAGCCACCTTCACTTCAAATGCCTTCCTCATCTCTGCATCCTGTAACTTCCATGTCTTTCTCTTTGCCACAAACTTATCCTTCTTCCTCCTCCCCATTTCTTTTGATGCCACATCCATCACAACCATACTATGCTGCAACATACCAGGTATCGCCTTCACATTCCTTACATACTTTCTATGCTTCGCCCTTATCAATATATAGTCTATCACTGACCAATGCTCCCCTGATCTATATGTAATTAATCGTGCTGGTTCCCTTGTAAACCAGGTATTCCCCACCACCATGCTATGTGCATCCGCCAACTCCAACACTCTACGCCCTTTCTCATTCCGTATACCATATCCCCATCCCCTATGTACACCTTCATACCCGTCTGCATCCGCCCCCACATGACCATTCAAATTACCTAACAACACCACAAACTCATCCAACCTCGCTTGCCCAATCTCGTCAGAAACATCATCATAAAACCTATCCTTCTCCTCTTCCTTTCTACTTTGTTGCGGAGCATATCCTGATATTACCCTCACTATTACCTTTCCAAACACCATCACCACCACAATTACACCATTGCTTTTCCGCCTCACTTCCAACACCTTCTCTACCAACTCTTCTCTTACCATCACACCAACTCCTCCCGTACCATCAACCCCCTTCCACCACAACTTATACCTTCCACCTTTAGCCCCCACAAACTTTGTACCCTCTACCTTCCATCTGATTTCCTGTAATGCAGCCACGTCGACCTTTCTCCTCTGCAACTCCTCCACCACTTCCAAACTCCTTCCTGTCAACGTGCCTACATTCCAGGTACCAAACCTCCAACCCCTTGGTCTACAAGTAATCGTTCCATCCATAGTGCCTTGCACCGCCACACTATAGAGTGGGGGGCCAGTAGACAGACCATCCACAGGGCCTTCAACAAGATATAGGAATGGACAGAAATAGAATATTTTGGATCTGCTATTGGCACAACAAAAAAATTTAATACAAGATAACGAATATAATTCGCCTGTGGGTAAAAGTGATCATCTGATGTTGAGTTTTTCTTTGGTGATGAATACAGAGGTAATCACACATTTAAAAGAAAATAAAATGTTTGATTATAAAATAGGAAACTATTGTCTTATGAATCAATTTATTTCTGCAAATTTATCGATGCCTAAAAATGGATAATTCAATAGAAGTTTGTGTTAGATGAGATTTGGGATAGGTTTGTTATGGTTATTAACATGGCAGCGAATGTGCCACTTAAGACTGAAATTTTAACTAAGAAAAACTATTCAGTTTCATTTTTTCATCAGTTTATGAGACAGTGGATGATCCGCATGATGAACACTGTCAGGCTGTTTCGAAATTTGAGCTCATTGGATGGACAGAAACAGAATATTTTGGATCTGCTATTGGCACAACAAAAAAATTTAATACAAGATAACGAATATAATTCGCCTGTGGGTAAAAGTGATCATCTGATGTTGAGTTTTTCTTTGGTGATGAATACAGAGGTAATCACACATTTAAAAGAAAATAAAATGTTTGATTATAAAATAGGAAACTATTGTCTTATGAATCAATTTATTTCTGCAAATTTATCGATGCCTAAAAATGGATAATTCAATAGAAGTTTGTGTTAGATGAGATTTTGGATAGGTTTGTTATGGTTATTAACATGGCAGCGAATAAATATGTGCCACTTAAGACTGAAATTTTAACTAAGAAAAACTATTCAGTTTCATTTTTTCATCAGTTTATGAGACAGTGGATGATCTGCATGATGAACACTGTCAGGCTGTTTCGAAATTTGAGCTCATTGGATCAAAAATGAACCTACAGTTGTCTATGACAAATTTAAAAGTTTGAATGTTAACAAATCGTCAGATCCAGATAATCTACATGGAAAAGGTTTTATTTGAAATGTAAAGGGTCTGTTTGTAAATATTTGTCTACTCTATATGGTATATCATATTAATGAGGAGTCATACCTAGTATATGGAAGGAAAGTGTTGTAACAGCTATTTATAAAAAGGGTGATAAAAAAGATGTAAGAATTATAGACCAGTGGCGTTGACCAGTGTTATTTGTAAACTGATGGAATCGATTATTAAGGATGATTTGATGTTGTATTTAACTTATAATGATTTGATTGACTCTTGTCAATATGGATTTGTAAAAGGTAAATCAACGGTAATGCAACACTTGAAACTTTTGGATGATTGGACTAAGGCATTAGATGATGGCTACAGGATTGATGTTGTGTACACGGATTTTGAGGAGGCTTTTGATAGAGTGTCACATGGTATTTTAATTGAAAAAATGAAAGAGTACAGATTGAATGATCGATTGATTACTTGGGTAAACAGTTATTTAAGTGGGAAAACATTCAGAGTAAGATTGAATGATAAAATGTCTAGATGTTGTACAGTGTTAAGTGGTGTTCCTCAAGGGAGTGTGCTGGATCCTATATTATTTCCTTTATATGTTAATGATAAAGATGTATAAATTGATGATTATATTTATATGACTTAATGATTATATTTAATTTGTATAAAGATGCAAAAGGTCCAGCAATGTATATGTATGCAGATGATGCAAAAATGTACAGAATTATTGGCTCAGATGATGGTAGAATGGTATTACAAAATGGGTTAAATGACTTGACTAGTTGGTGGGCAAAGAGTAATGTAAAATTAAATGAAAAAAAATTTGTGGTAATGAAATATGGGTATAACATACCTGAAAATAATTTTCAATATAAAATTGGTCATCGTACATTGGATAACGTCGATTGTATTAAGGACTTAGGTGTAATATTTGATAATTCTTTAAAATTTGTTGATCATATTCATAACAATGTTATAAAAGCATATTCTTTGTTAGGTTTAATAATTAGAAATTTTAAAGGTGTTAGTGATCATATTTTTATAATGTTTTATAAATTATTAGTCAGATCTCAACTAGAGTATGTAGCTTGTGTTTAGTCTCCGTGGACAGTACAGGAAACAGAGGTGATAGAAAGGGTCCAGAAAAAAGCAACAAAGTCGATCAAGGCCTGCGAACATATAAAATATGAAGATCGTCTAAAATTTTGAGCTTGCCAACACTGAAATACAGACGCATTAGAGGAGATCTCATCATGATGTATAACTTGTTTAGAGCTAAACATCAACGTGACCTCTTGGTAATGATGAAAGCTGGTGGACGAACAAAAAGACACAAAATGAAATTGACTGCTCTTCCATTCCATAAGAACTTGAGAAAATAATACTTTATCAATAGATCAATTTATATCTGGAACAATCTGGGTGTTGATGTTGTGAATACTGATAGTGTGAATGATTTTAAAAAAAGTTGGATACTTATCTTACGAATGCCAGATTTATGTATGATTGGAGGGCAAATGATACTTGATGTGACATTGGCTATTTGTGAGATTGGGATATATTCAAATTTTTCATCAGTATGTATAGATATTATCATCAATTTATTGATTAGGATATGTGATTAATTCATTAATATTTGTTTTTTATTATCTTTTTTTTACAAGGTTTAATACATTAATGATTAATGACTTATAAGAACATTAATTATTTTAAATTTGTTTAGTATAGAGATAGACTCATAGGTTTATTTAATTTGTTTTAAAATTGTCTTAGTTTTGAGAAGGCACAGGGAAGTTTCGTCTTTGTTTAATGTAATAATAATAATAATCATAGTCTTTTGTATTGCTGATTTTCTCTTGCTGTCAGAGCATCTACACTTGCTACCAGATTCAAATTGTGATTACCACATCGTTTGTGCGGGGGTAAAAGAAAAACATCATCAGAATCAATTTGTTTTAATTAAATCGGTAATATTTGTTTTTAATAATATGTCATTTTCGTAAATACCTTCTATGTCACTGTCACCTTTAGTATTTTAAATGCTACTAGAGAAAATGCTTTTACAAAATTTGCAGTAAAATTTTCATTGACTTTTTTTAAAACGGCGTCAATAAAGCACAATTCAATAATTTGAGTATTCATATTAAATAATTAATCAAACGCACATTATCTGCATCTGGTACACAAAAAAATGCTTAAAAAGAATAATAATAATAAACAAATTTGGAAATAGGGATGTGCAATTACAAAGATAAACATTAATTCTGAGGAAAAATATTTTCAAGTATTTAAAAAAATAGTTAACTATATTAGTTTCTAACTACTAAAACTAGTTAACTAGTAGTTAATAACTATTTGAAATAAAATAGTTATTAACTTCTTTTTAATTACTAGTTAGTAGTTATTAACTATTAGTTAATTATTTGTAGTTAGTAACTACCCATAACTGCCCTTTTGTAGCTTTGTTGATTAGTTCGTGAAGTCAATTGTCGTTCTCTCTATTCGAATCAGAAACTCTATAACATCATCTAACCAACATTGCCTCGTTTATGTTTTTGACTTCACACCACAGATTTTCTTTGAATCTGTCATCTTTTAGGTCCATTCTTTCCAAAGCTGTTAAGCCATCTTTTATATATAAAAATTCTCCACCACCATGTCCTCTTTCTCCATAAATATCCCTGTCTTTCTTAAACATGGCGTATCCATCTAGTTCAACTTCACAGTCCTCTATGTATTTCTTTAGCCCAGAATTCTGTTATACCGATGATTTCAGGTTTCTTCCTATCTACATAAAGTTCAAGTTCTGTTCTTTTATCTTTATTTACTACACTTCTTGCATTTACGCAAAAACATTTCAAAATTCTCAAAAGTTCGTTTAGCTCCATTGATGTTTCACTCTTTGTTCTCTGATTTTCCGT